TATTGTAGTGGAGCCAAAATAAAGCATCACTATTTCCACAGCTTCATTTCCTTCGGTCTAAGTCAACATTCTGGCGCACAGGGTTATAAAATCTGACCATTTCTCATGCGATAAACACACGTAGGTAAGACTAACGCAGATGGGTTAACAGGAGGACGTTGAAGTTTATTTAGGACACAGGGTAAAACATCGTTGTCCGACGCCCTACCACACTTCGATCCTTCACCGTGAACGTTTCCAGGAGTGCTGACCTTGCGGGCCAATCGAGTACGTTTAAGGACTGCCAAATAGACGCACATTTGTCCAGGCCTTCCTTGCAAACACACAAGAAACAGGACCCTTGAACTAACACCCGTTAACTCAGAAAAGCGGTCAAAACCAATGACACTCTAACACTAAAACGGCACGTGCCTTGGTCCCTCACTAATGTCTGTTGTTGTCGAAGACAGCATCTTACAATTAACCACTTACTATTGGTCTTCTCGCACCTACTGGGGTCTGACCAGATCACTGCGGTGGGGCCAGCCGACCCAAGACCATTGCAACAACGCAGCCTTTACCACAAGCAGACCAGGCTGGGAACAAGCTCGAGGTAACGATGTGAAGATGCAGCTGGGTGCAAGTAAAGCAGACATCGTGTTATGATAACTGAAACAATTCGCTGTAGATGTATTCAGCAAACAATGCGGATATGGTTGGTGCGATGGGAACTAACACCATTACTACAAATCTGGGGTCCGAAGAGAGATCCATAGAGGAGTTGCTCTAAGAAAGTCGACTTACCAGGTCTGGCGGTAAATCAAAGAATTTGGCATCGATTGCAGACGTTTCTAATCAATGAGAGTCCGTCTATTTTGTTTTACGCTCCCCTTCCCGCCAGATGGTCTTACTTGCCGTGCTCAGATATCAGCCTCTAATAACCAGCGGACTGTGCTGCGACAGGAGAGGTGGTGTTACTAAGCGCAGTTCAGCGTCAGACTAGATGGTAAAGTACGTCAGAAACATGTCATAGCCTTCGTGTAATCTTTTTTTCAACTTCAGTTCTGTTTGAATGATCTAGATCAGCGCGAATGCTTCACCTTGGCTGACGTTTTAATTAAAACTGATCTACAATTCTTGAAACTCTCCTTAGTTAATAGTTGATGAAAAATATCCGTTAATTTCAGATGCCAGGTGCAAGCGTCTCATTAAGTCAGCGTTCTCCGCTAATTTCATATTAATCGAAAGGTCTTCTACAAAAGCGCTTAACTTGTCAAAAAGAGGGCACGAATAGGCACCGTTGACTGCGCGAACCTTTTTAAGGTCATTTGAGTGGTATGTGTGTGAAAAGGTGCAAATCGCAACTAACGTGCGCACAATTCTATCCGCTAAGCACCAATCTGTTTGACTTACTGATGAATCCACTTACATAAGGCTCTCGGCAGTACACTTGAATCGCTCAGACATGAATAAAACAACACTACGAAAACGCCAAAGTAACCAGTAATGCAACTCCGAAAAGATCTGGAAGACGTAAAGAACGCAAAGTGGGTCAGCGTCTGAAAACACTTTTCAGCGGACAGGATTTTTTTATCTTGTTTAATTCAATTGATACGTAAATCCCTCGGAACAGATCTTTCCAAGCTGGGCCGAAACTTTATATGGAGCTTCATACGATACGAGAGTTAGTGACGGTGCCGGAAGAACTCGCGCTTGCCGATCGGCGTAGGATAAAAAGTGTAGAATGCGACGAATATGGGTCACGCACCCTTTTGAAGTTGGTAGCAGACTCTGTTTCACCTTACATTAGCCGAAATTGTGCTTTTCGATCTCCTCTACCCAGGTTGTTTTACAAGAGGGGATCTAGGGCGATGGCAGTTGGGCCTAATTCTTAAAAGTTAACACTTAACATTATCAGACATTAGTTGCTGACTGCTTAGCCCGCTTTTTGGCTGCAGCAAACGGGGCTAACAAAAGAAGTCCTTAATGCGCAAAAGAAGTAGATTCGTTGTCCCTTCCGATCCTGGCAAGGCAGCGCATACAAAAGTCACTAATAAATCACCTGCTACGCCCCAGTAACCCATT